ATGGCATCCCTTCCCTCCAGCGTCATGTTATGGTAAATGAGAAAAATGGAAGGTGAGTTAGGATCATCTGTACATAGGTAGGATATTAAGGGGAGGGCAGTGATGAATTTGTCATACTACGATCTCATACTGTGGCAGCTGTCAGTCTAGCTTAATGTCCTATTTTTATTGGTTATGTTTTGTTCTGTGTTTTTTTTCTTTGTAACTATCACGCACACTGTGCTGTGTAAATTGGATATCTTTGGAATCCAAGCAAGTAATAAAAGTTCTTATTTTTCAACAAAACTTCACGTTTTACAGCAACTTTACAGTTGAGGGAAGAACGTAGTGACATGCAGGACTGGGAACAATCGGTGAAGGACAGAACTGGGAATACTTTACAGTAGTAACACTGCTAAATATTTATATTGTGGAAGGCCAGCCAGATTCTTCATTAACGTAATTAGATGTATTTCAAGTAGCCTGGATCATCTGTGTAGCATTTCATATTTTTTGGAGATCTTTACAAGCAACGAATACTCAAATTTTGCCATTAGCTAAGCAATACTTCTCTCATTTGCAGGAGAAACAACGACAAAAACCTAGAGCCTGATGTTACTACACTGGTGTAATTGGGAATAATATGTTTATGATCATCTGCTTATGTAATGGAGTAGGGAATGTAATCTAGAGAAATTGTGTGTTAGATGGGGCTTCTTCAGCTCAAGCTGATTTTAATTTTATGAGGTGTAGTTGTAGATGACATTGGGAGAAATACCAAAAGCACTTGTAACTGCCTCTGCATTACAGTTCTTCCTTATTTCCTTCTTGTTTTGGAGGATGAGTGTAGTAGTTGCAATTCAAGTTACTTGATTGGATCTGGGGTGGGTAGTATTAGCCAGGCAGCTCTTCTTGCTTCCTGTGGACAGGAGACCTAACAGTGACAGGGACTGTAAAAAAGTGTCAGCTGTCAGACTCAGCTTTGAATAAATGAGAAACATATGTTTCCAGTGTCCACTGCAAGTACTGCTTTGTGACAGTTAAGCTTATTGCTGCGTGTTTGTACCAAAACACAGTACCCCTCCTCTACGAAACCAATTGTACAGACCTTTTTTTCTTTTTTTTCCAGAAATGAAGACTATAAAACGTTGGTGGTTTCTTCCAATAAAGGATAATAGTCTTTTTAAGTTGTTCTGATTGATATTCATACTGGGAATCTGCTAATCCTTCTTGTTCCCAATTTTTTTATTCACTTGTCAACTTGAATAACTGATTTTTTGGCAAGGAGCAACTAAATACAACACTATATTTAATTTCCTCCTTTCACATTGACCCACGGGTTCACAGTACACAACACCCTCAGGTTGCATTGCAAATGCACCAAGAAGGCAGCCGGGCTCTGGAGTTCACCGTCTCATTAAAGAAAGTGACAAAAGTTTTTATGTTTTTGACCCAAGTTGTTAATTGACAGAAAGTCTTTACTGAGAGATGCTTTTCATTTCTGGAAACACTGTTGTTTTGGTACTCGCTGTGAGCATCCTCTTTAACATGGAAAAACATCAAAAGATTCTGCCCTTTAAGGGAGCAGTGGTTTTGATTTGACTACTGTAGCAATACGAGTTTTGGGTGAAATACACTTGTATCTTGGAGGCATATATTTGAATTGGTTTGGTTTACACAAGGAAAGGAGGTTTCTGATGTCCTAAATATTTTGGGTGTTTTTTAATGCCTGGCTTCTGACTTCCATCCATAATGCAGACCAGTTAGCCTTTCCAGAGGATCAATCTTTTCCTGTTTCGTTTTTAGTCTTACTTTCTGTGAAGGATCCATCTGAGGCCAATATGGAAAGACTTTGCCCTGTTCTTCCGGAAGAGACTTCTTCACAAGGGTCCACACACAGTCCAAGAGAAATCAATAAAACCATAGAAACGGAATTAACTTTACCCGATGAAAATGTAACTCAAATAGAAAATATACTTGATCTCTGGAGTGGAAGTCTTAAGGTATTTATTTTGTATGGAATCCTTAAAAATCATGTACAGGTGCCAGTGTGGTGTAGAAGAAGCGAGCTCAGGAAAAGTTGCAGTGTGATTGCACTGGGAAATGGTGGTTTTGTTATTGGTGGTTGTTGCATATTCATAAAAACAGGAGGATATCTTGTTTCAAGAACTTTGGAATAACTTTCTCCATTAGTTCAGTTGTTATCATTCAATAGTTCATTATGTCTGATAATATTTATAGACATAAACAGCCTGTTTAATGAAGGCATCACTGTAAATATTCATGTCCCCTTAATTGCTAAGTGTTTTAGGATGAAAAGATTGGGGAGGAGGGAATAATTTTACTAATTGCACTCCTGTCATCCATTCAACTTTTCAGGCAAATGTTCTGACTGAATTGAGAAAATGGAAGCTTAGTTTGGTCGAACATTACAGGCTTCAAATGAGACAAGAAAAAGACAAATACGCTGCACATGTGAGACAACTGAGCAATGAGATGGAAAACCTGAAGGAGCTGCTACGTACATATGAAATCTCTGTTGGCAGAAAAGATGAGGTGGTAGTAGTTCAATTTCGTAATTAATAGGTCCTCTCTTTTTAAAAATATCCACACAGAATTTTGGGTCCATCTCTTTGAATAACAAAATTCTCCTTGCAGCAAGTAACACAGAGAAAGTAAATAATATATTTACACTGTACAGTAGAAAAAAAATCATTGTTGCTAATAATGTTGTCCATACTAGAAATATAAATTCAACATATTGCATATACACATTTTGCACTGTTTGCTTCTTAAACGTGGGGTCTGTCCTTGTTCCTTGTTTGTTTCATGAAGGTCCACTGGCTTAGATGAATCTGTTAGTTAGCTCTTACACTTTTAAAGCCTTTAATTTTTCAATTATTGGATTGGTTTTCTTGCATTTTAAATGAGCATCAGTCTGCTAAATGTAGAATCCTCTATTTTAGGATTCTTGGGAATTGTACAAATTCTTAGGTTGGTACATTTCAGGTCTCTGAGTTAGGCTTTTCTGCTGTCAATAATATCAACAAGTTCATAATCAACTGGAATTGTGGAAATGGATATAAAATTTTGGCAGCCCTGCAATCACTTAACATAATTGGATTCTCTCGTTGCTATCCTGAATTTTTAACATTCTACTTGAGAACATTTAATGAGTTTGGGTTTTTAATTCCTATTCACTTTTGTTTTAAAGGTGCTCATTGAGGGAGTTAAAATATGGAGGAAGGTGATGTTCTGTGTCCGTTTGGGAAACAGTTCAATCTTACAGACCAAGCATATATAAATGTTGTAAGATTACAACAAAACAATTAGCATAACGTTACTTAACTAGTATTTATGTGCAGAACCACAGCTATTTGAGTGTTTACCATTCAAACATATCTAATTCTGTTGGGTATCATTCTATGTCACTCATGTTCAGTGCACTGTAATGCTCAGTGCTGTCTGAAAGTAGTAATTTTTTCTCTCTTACCAAAGAATTATTTCTTCAGCCAATTTTATAGTTCTGTTTCCCCAAAAAAAATGGTTTAGATGGAAAATTATTTGACTTAACATATAGGTGGTAGTGCTTCCATGTATCACACCAAACTCATCAAAACTGCTGGATTCTGACATGGGCGTAGCCCAAAGCCAATCAGTCTCAAAAATACTATGAATACCAGAGATTCTTCTTTTCACGCTGGAAATCTCACAGATGTTTTTTAATGGCAAAAATATACTAATTAACAAACATGGGTGTAGGCTAAGACTTCTAGTATGTATTGACAGGTAAGCAGGACCTAAAGCTGATGTTTTCGTGTATTACAAAAAAAATATTGATTTCCATTGATTTATATTTTCTTACTGATTTTTTGACAATTTATGTACATTTACTTGTGATTTTATATAAATTCATTGCTATTTATATAGCTGGGACTATTCAGTTATTCTGAAACTGTGGGAAGTTAGAATTAGTCACATATAAGCAGAGAGAAGTAGCTTGTACTAGATATATTAAAATACAGTATTATCAAGAACTTGTTCTTAAAAACACAGATCGATTAGGTTTAAATTGCTTTAAATGTATCAAATTAACTTTCATTTTTTTCTGACTTTGATTTTTGAATGCCTTAAAGAAACTAAGCTTTTGCCTAGTTTGTTAAAAATTCTAAAGATTGACTGAAATGGAAATTTATTTGAAGCATCGTTTGTTTTGTTAATATAGGTTCAGTAATTATTGCATACAACTGCATATGCAGTATAACATATACATCAGTATATAATTTCATAAGATACTGTTCTTCACCATTTGTATGCCGTGGTTAATTCCTTTAATTCACTGCCAAGAGTCGCAGCATTTCTCACTGATGCCCATTGGAGTTACTGAGATGTGAGTGAAAGCAGAATCCAGCTTAAGAGGTTAGGAAAATACTCTGTGATTTGGTGTACCCCATATGCATCGTGTCTGGCCTTATTTCTACTCTGATACCCTCAGCTGTGTCTGTATAATAATTAAAACATTTAGATGTTGGTGGTAAAAGTCCCTAGCTGCATTTTCTGTCCAGCAGGCCACGCAATCTCTCAGAAGTTTTGATTGCTATGGACCTATATAATGTATTTCATGAGATCTTTTAAACAGAATAACAACTCTGAATGAGATTTTTCTGGTTCTTAGCAACTCCTTAGCTTGTTTATTCTGCTCAGAAAGTTGTGTAAGCTTTCTGAAGAAAAACTGGTTTTTTACACTTATACACGACAGCAAACTTTTAATGAATGTTCCTAATTTATCAAAACTGTCTTTGCAAATATTTGACTCTCCTGACCTTACGCTACACTAACATTTAATTATTAGAAAGCAGCACACAGCCTGCAGAGATAGGATGAAATAATGATTCAGCTGAACTTTTCCTGAAACTACATAGTGAAAGTGTTTAATTGCTGCAGTCAGTGTTGAACCCACAGGAATTTTACTCCTGATTTGAACGCTGATTATTGTTTCCTCCTTGATTAGACTAAGGGGATGATTTAGTAGAAAGCTACTGTTAAAAGCAAACGCTTTAATTGAAAAATAACTGATGCATAAAGGGCATTCTATTTGACTTTACAGTGACCGTAGCTATTGAAATAGCATTAATAAACATTTTTGCAGGTGATTACTAACTTGACCCAAGCATTAGAGAGGCAAAAGGAGAGAATAGAGTTGATGAGAACGTTTACACTCTGGCGGATTCAGCATATTAAAGCCAAACAAGAGGTATGTGTACAAAATACAAATGCAAGGCACATGAAACCTCTGAACTCGAAAGGGTCAGAGTTGCTGCAGTTCCTGCTACAGTTTGAAGAAATGACTGTTTCTGTTCTGATGTGTTTGACAATGTCAAATAACAGCTTGAAAACATAGTTCTAGAAAGAACACTGCTGTTGGAATACTCTCTGGGATGGGGGAGACATCAAACCTGTGTTTGTCTTATATTGCTCTAATTACTGTGATCAGCTCACAGCAAATCACCATAGTTTACAGTACCTGCATTTTGAAGCAGGTGCCAATCTAAATTTCAAACACATGGCATTTAAACAGGCATATGATACAGGATCACATCGGGGGTGGGGAAGCCATTTTCACAATTAAAACTGTTCTCATGTTGCCAAAACTTGAAGTAGCTAAGAGCTGGCTGCACACAACGTTGGGGACTGCGTCAGGCATCATCTATACAGTAAACAATGTGCTAGGTGAAGTATGACAGAAACGAAGAATCCCATGTCAAGACTCCAAACCTTTCCCATTCCAGGCTGTTAAAAAGGGGAAGCTGCATTCAGGACCTTTGTTTATTGGTACAGGTTCCTGGCTAGACTGAAGTTCATTGATGCTATCCAAAACTCCGCTGATTTGCAGAGAGGTTTAGACTTACCTCTTTTCCTTCCCTCCCATCTTGGAATTTACTAATAATTTGGAGTCTGGTTTTCACTCAGCTCTTCTTATTTTTTCTAATTCCTTTCTGGAAAAAATAATTTCAAGCTGGAATACATCGTCTGGTGACTATTTTGAAATAGAGTAGAATAATATAATTGTCTTAAATGACTTTTTAAATAATTTAAGTTTATTAAAAAGGTAGGTGTTTTACGCTAATCCCCTGAGAACTTGTGACTGCGGGTTTTATATGGTTCCTGTGGTGAATCAAAATGTGCCACTTAATGGCTTCACCCATGCATGGCTACACCATATATGTGAGTTGTTGTTGAAGGGTCATTAAGCTAAGAGTAAAAAGACTGGTTTGGGTAACCCAGGAGTTTGCAAATAGGGTTTCTCATACTGAAGATAGCTGCGCTCCATGATGTGTGCAGGAAGAAACACGGAGCTGCTGGTGCTCTGTCGTGTGCCGCTTCACCGCCACACGTGTACTCGGTGTAGGTGTTCCTACCGTGGCCCACACTCTTTAGGACGTGCATTTTTAAGAAGCCTGAACTTGTATATGATGTGGTTATTTTTGTTTCCTAAGGAGTATGCAAATAGAATTGCAGACAGGCAATTCCGGACAGCTTTGATGAAGAAAGTGTGGGTAGCATGGCGCTCTCTTAGCGAAGAAGAATGGAAGGAAAAAGTAGCCAAAGCCTGTCAGTTAAGGGCAGAGGATGTCTGTGTTCAGCTCACCAATGATTATGAAGACAAGATTGCAGAGGTAAAATAAGGTTTCTTTCTTTCATTCTTCTTCACTCCCCCACCCCCCCTAAGTCCCTCTTTCTCAGCAAACATGAAAAACACAAGGACTTCCCAGCAGAACAGAGCTCCCAGAGATGATGTTTCTAGATGTAAAAGTCTGGATGTTTCTAGACATTTCCCCACACACACATCTGATGTAAAATGTTGGTTTTCTGCAGAGTGGTGAGGTAAATAGGACTCTTGTCATTGGTGAGCTCTAGTGCAAACAGTGTGCTGTAGTACAAAAGAAGTGACAAGTAGCTGTTCGCCTCCGGTGAACCAGAGATTTTTGAAGTGAAAATGCACGTCTTTGTATACGTAGTGACTTTCAAAGCTAATGGAGGAGTGTGTTCGTGGTGTGCATTCAGAGGTACAGCTGTTTCCTTATTCTTTTTTGTAGCTAACTGCTACTTTGGAACAGACAAAAGCTGAGATTCTGCGGCTGCACAGTGAAAGAGAACAGTATGAAGACACGATGAAGAAAGCCTTTATGCGTGGTGTGTGTGCTTTGAATCTGGAAGCGATGACCATGTTTCAGGGCAAGGACAGTAGGACGGATCCTGGTCAGTGTAAAAAGCAGCTCTCATCTGATAGTGGGAGGGGCTTTGTTGGGTTGGTTTGTTTTAAAGGATTCTCCCTTTTTTTAATTTAACGTGAGGACTTGTGGCAATACAGAGTTTATCAAAATCTTCTTGCTTTCAAAAGCCCCATTGAATAAGGTGAGAAACACTCGATATTGAAGTTTGTCCTGCTGTAGCTTAAAGGTGGAAGATGTTCTTTTCATCCCGCCTTGCTGTGAGTGTGGTAACCTTCAACTGAAGCCAGAACCAGAAGCCAGGGATGTCAGACTTCTTAAAATACTGTAGAAGATAACCTAGAATTAGGTCAGCACCCAAGTTAGGGGGGGGTTGTGAGGGAGAAGTCCTGGAAAACCCTCCTCTGTTCCCTGAAATCTCAGTGTGCAGTGGATCTGCTTTTCCCAGACAGCGCTCTCTCCTTTCTTAACCTTGCCGTTTATTGCAAAGGGAGTAAGTTGATCTCCCAGGTCTGTATTTAGTTGGAGTTCTGTGGCAGAACAGGAAACACCAGTGTAATTGTATCAGCAGCACACTGGTAAAAACTTGCGCAGCTACGCAGGAAGTCGCTGCGCACCCTTACCGATGTAAGGAAACCACCCCCTCAGGGTGAGACCATCTCCAGCAGCAGGAGCGTAGTCGGGTTGGTGCAGCCGTCTGTGTTACAGAGAAAATAGCTGTGCCAGCACAAGTGTCACAGCTGTACGTGTGGCGTAACAAGCTGTACTCTGCAGGTGCTGATGGCCTTAGACAAGTAACTTCAGATGCTAAACTTCAGAGTCTTACACCAGAAGTTTCTGATCTACTTCAGAGAAATTCCTCCCAAAAAACGTAGCAATGAAGAAACAAAACGTGAAGAAGTTGTAAGACAATACTTACTTGAGCAGCTCTCTGAGCTAAACATACGTGCTAACTGTGCAGTTGCTTAGGAAACTGGAATATGACATTGGCTAAGTGCAGTGGCTGTGTGCTAGTAAAAGCGTTGGGTCGGTATTTGGGGACGGTCAAGAATGAGTGATTTCTTGAAGATACTGAGTTTGGGAACAAAGTTACAGGGCATTGCCCAAGTACTTAGTTTTTCACTGTGTTATAAATTAAGAACTACTCTCTTTTGAAGTTTTGTCTTATATTTGTTTATTGTTTTCCGAAAACGTGCAACAGACAGTGAGTGGGTCTCCCAAATAAGGATGGGTAACTGAGTGGTGTGAAATAGGAAAAGCATTGTTTCCATAAACCTGTAAAGAAGAGGGTAAGTAGGAAGGAAGTGAAGAAAACTGAGCTGTAGAGCTACCATGATCAACCCCTGGAGTTCACAGACCAAACATTTTGCTTGATTTTGACTATGAAGCAGCAGCTGATACTCTACACAGGCACAGTACCTAGAGATTTTTCGGTGTTGGACAATGCTGGGATGCCTCTACTCAACTTTCTGGGTGTCCAGCATCATGCTTTTCAGTTTCCTGTGGTCACTGTTAGTCCTCAGCAAGCTTCATAACAATTCACAGTCTCTGTTGTCCATGGCCCCGTGCCTGTCATATCCTTCCAATGCCTCTCCTACTGTCTTCTCCCCTGCCTCCAGGCACGCTGTCTCTTCCTTGCTACAGCCAGATGATGCTTTTAATGAAGTTAGTTACGTCATTATTTAATATGGTTGTACAACCCTTTATTTGCATTCTTCCTCAGATATAAAAGAATGGTGACCAGGACATCAGGGGACTTCAAACATCAGATTAGAACAAATCACAATAATCATCTAGTCTTGTAATCTGTGGACATGAAACTCTGTGGTCCATGTGCTAGAGTCAGTCAGTGATTATATATTTATATAAACACTGCAGTGCCACCTACTGCCGTTGGAAATAAAAGCAGAATTTGGTCCCTTTACAAATGTTTTAGGTTCCTAGAGTGTACATTTAATACATGTACAATATACAAGTAACATACCTATAATAGACATTATGAAGTAGGCTATTAATACTGTGTGAGTGTCATAACCTTAATGGGTCCATAACATTTGGAATCAGTGTTGATGGTCTAAAATCTGGCTGATTTTACCTGACAGATGGGATTTCTTTATTATTATTATACTAAGATTATTTTTAACCTCTTTATGTATTTAAGGGAACACTGAAGCCACAATAATTCGTGACTTTAAAAAAAAAAAATCTAACACTACTTTTTTAAATAACATTGATCAGGTCTGATTGGTCTGTAACTGTGTGTTGGTCCTGTCTATGCTTAAGCTTACTGTGTGTGTACATACACGTACGAGATGCATATTCTGGCACACTTTCACCTTGAAACCTTTGAGTATTGCACCAGTTGGAACTACCTTCCTTGTGTTTTTCCTGCTCGCTTAAAGAGAAAAAGACGCAAAACCCCAAAACTACCACGTGGTGTCACTCTAATCCCTGGAATGCGCAAATTTCCCTTGGCCTGGAACTGGTGCTAGTGCCATCTGCTTCAGAAACAGGAGAGTAAATAAGAATACCTCTCTCTGCTTCCTTTAAGGAAGTTTGTATTTTAAAGGAAAGGACTGAAACTGCTTGGAAAAGATACTGGGCATAGGCCTGCAGATCCGACCTCCCCAGGATGTCTGCACTGCAAGGCAAAGGAATCCTGAGGGGATTTTGTGCAAGCTCAGGCTTACCCAGCTGGCGGGAGAGATGAGGGCTGTAGAGCACCCATAGATCGCCCCAGCCCTGCAGGCAGGATGTGGCCAGTGTCCAGCCATCGTATGTGGAGTTGAGATGCTGCAGAGCACGACCTGTGGCTCCTTCAAACTGCAAGAGGTTCTTAGGAAAGTTAAAGTAACCTTCCATTGTATGGACAGTGAGCCCCCTTAGGAGTCTTTCACCCTCACCTAAGTCCAGTGTGGCCGTGCTGTGTTTTGCTGCCCTCTGCCTGAACCAGATTGTGGCC